GGGACACCCACTGTCTTTCTTGTAGGGCTGACCGCAGCCAAGGCAGGCATCACTCACGTACGGAGAGCCACTTGTTTTATGGGAGCCTGTTGGGACGCTTCCATCTTCATCTTTTATTCTTCTGGACAGTTCTCAGATTAGCCTGTGAACACCCCTCAATGTTAAACTGGATTAAATAAAAGCATCACACTGACGTGCTCTTGAAATGGCATCATCCAGGCAAACATTTAGCTGGAAACCTCGAGAAATGCTTTCTGGATTGCTGGTGACCACATGTGAGATAGTCAACCTTGCATTTTCAGTTCCAGCTTAGACACAGGGTGTCAGCCCCAATCCCTGCCTGGAGATGGTACCCCCTCTACCTGTGGCAAGGAAGGAGTACAGGGGTGTGGCGCGACAGAAGCAACAGAAAGGTAATGTATACGTGATGGAGCCTCTGGCACCCACCTTCCTGAAGACCGTCACTGACTCCCCCAAATCAACATCAAAGACCCAGCAGCACTAACTTGACATTCACAAAGCCACAAAGGGCTGAGTCCACCCAGACGCTGGCACTGCCGTGGTTCATACTGCAGCAGGGGTGAGGGACCTCAGGGTGCGGGGCAGTGGAGGGCAGTGGAGCAGGCAATACCTGATGTGGGGCTGGCAGAGTGATGCAGACTGGACTTGATTTCCTTAAATAAGCAATGTAATTTCTCTGAGACTCTGTTTTCTCATCTGTAAAATGGGAATAATAATCGTTGTTTGGTTCCAGGCCCCAGTGGGCCTCCTGAAACTCCCAACTTCATGGTGCTTCAGAAGCTGCATAGGGTTGTCTGGGGTTTCAGTGTATAAAACATTGTGTCCTTGACCTCTATCCTGACACTGCTGGAGTTCTCCTGGCCCTGCCATGTCTCCATAGCTGCTGGGCTGGGGCATGATGGAAAACAGAGAGGACAGCAGTGTCCTCATGTTAATTGTGTCCACAACATAGGACACAAGCTCTGCTGTCAGACCTTCCCGTGTGCATTCCAGCTGTCATTAGCCCCAGCACGAGGCACGGTCTCATCACTGTCCCAAGGGAAGCACTTGACCTGAACTTTGACACAATTGATTGTGGTAGTTAATCATTTGTAAACAAGCAGAAAATTGCGTTTCAGCAAACATCTGTGACTTCTCCAATGTCTGCCTGTATTTAGAAGCCAAATCCTTACAAGATAAGGTCCCCTTTTAGCCCTCAAGCTGATGTACTCACGGAGGGACCTGCATGCTCCCCCCACCAGGGCACACAGTTATGGGGATAAACCGCATGTCCCCCGACCCCCGTATGTGTGCGTGCTGTTCCCTCTGTCCAGGGTATGCACCACTTGGTTAAACAAAACCCATTATTTAGGTTTTATACGAACCATGGTGTGCCATGGCACATTGGTGTGCCCTGAGAGGATCTTAGGTGTGCCTAAGAGGATCTACCCAGAGGATTTTAGGTGAAAAATTTTAAAGATCATTAATTAAATTATTTTTGAAAGAAGTTCAAGCCACAGTAAGTATTTTTTTTTTTATTCTTTTATTCTTTTTTGTGTGTTTGTTTTTGAGACAGAGTCTTGCTCCTTTTTTCTGGATACAATGCCCTGGAGTCATAGCTCACCGCAACCTAAAACTCCTGGGTTCTAGCGATCTTCTTGCCTCAACCTCCCAAGTAACTGAGACTACAGGCACCTGCCATGACCCCCACTAGTTTTTCTATTTTTAGTAAAGATGAGGTCTTGCTCTTGTTCAGGCTGGTCTGGAACTCCTGAGCTCAAGTGATCCGCCTGCCTCTGTGATGACCCAGACCCCTTAATTCCCCACTGAGATCAGTGGGGAACAAGCACCCTTATCCTTGAAAAGGAAACCTCTCCTAAGCCCTTTAGCCTCAGACCCCACAAGGGTGGAGAAGTTAAATTCTGGGAAGAAGCTTGAAGATAAGAAAAGGAGGAAGGGAGGGGCGGATTCCAAATAAACCCAGGGGTGAAAGGGTCCCAAGTTGTTTTTGGAAACTTACCCAACACTTGTGCCCCTGATTTGTACCCCTGAACTATGTAACCTCTATCTTATGACCCATGAGGTAATGAACTTGTTGTATATCCTGTGATTTATGAACCAATATGTACCCCCACCCTGCGACCCTGCATTAACCGCTATGATTGGCTTCTGTATTGCACTAGCTTGCTGACCACGCATGACTATGCAAAATAAAGGTATAAAAAGGCTTCTCACCTGCCATTCGGGGCTGCTTGCCTGTATGGTATCAGCTGACCTGCAGGTGTAAATTCTTATCAATTAATTACTTCTGAAGTGGGGTCCATCCTTCTCTCAGCTGCTCGGGACATAACACTCCCAGAGTGCTAGGATTGCAGGTGTGAGCCGCTGTGCTGGCCTACTCTTTTTTTTTTTTTTATCAACATAATTTAAGCATGCTGAGGAAGTTTAACTACAGGTTCGAGTGTGCCATGAGATTAAAAACCCTGATACTAATGTCACTCGCTCAGGAATGCCTTCCTGGTGGACTCCCTTCAGGTTCTTTGGTTCCAGGCCCCAGTGGGCCTCCTGAAATTCCAGCTTCATGGTGCTTCAGGAGCTGCTCGCCCGGGCTCAGGCCAGGGGCATGGCAACCTCAGACTGCAGTAAGAGCAATACACGTGTTTTTCATGGACAGTGCTTAGTAATTTAACAGTTTTCCCATTCATCATCTTTTTTGACCTTGACAGTAAGTAATTAAGTATCATCTTCCAAGCCTCTGAGATGGGTGAGCCCATAGCTGGTCAGTAGCAGATGGTGACTATGTACAAGTTCTTTGCCTGACTCCCCAACTCTGCTTTTCTAATTCTGAAGCTGCCCCCTGCCCCTGGGAAGCACCAGCCAGACGTAGGCCTAGCATAATTGTCACAGCTCATCCCCCGTCTGGTGCAGCTGCTCTCAGGAAGGGTTTTAAATCTCGTCTGTGACCATGGGAGATATTTATAAACTGATCCTATGCCTCTATGTCTTTGTGTTTTTTATATTTCAGATCAATATGAGGGTACAAATATTTAGGTTACATTGTTTTCATTTCTAAGGTCAATTCAAGTTGTAGTTGAGCCCTTCCCAGGGGGCTGCTGAACACCCTCACTCTGTGCCCATTAGGTGAGATCTAGCCAAGGGCCCACCCCCTCCTCTCTCCTTCTCCCCTCCTCCTCGCTGGACTGTACTTGTGGTTTTTTGTGTGTGTCTAAGTGTGTAGTTGTTTATATATTGGTTTCATATTAGTATGGCTGTCTCTACTGTGCTTCCCCGAAAATAAGACCTACCCCCAAAATAAGCCCCAGCGGGATTTCTAAGCCCTAACCCGACAATAAGACCTAGTGATGGGTGCGGCTATACAGTGTATCTGCATAGCCATGCCATGCATTTCAGTGTTGTAAGGAAGACTGGAATACCTCTTATCTGCCACAGCTCCTTTCTCCAAGCTCTTTGCACTTGCGCAGGTGCGCGTGTGGTAATCACCATCACAGGCATCCTACTGTGCACGTGTGAACAGCTAGGGGAAAGGAGTTCACGCATCACTAGCACCAGCCCCACCAACAAGGTCGGCTCCCCCTGTCAGGTTCCAGAAGAAGATGACTTAACTGTATTTGAATAAATGTAGATTGTTGTATTATACTTAATAAAAATAAGGCATCCCCTGAAAATAAGCCCTAG